GGTGGTGAGTGATGGCCCATCCAGACCAATCCCACCCCTGCAGTGGCCAAGCCTCACTAAAGATGCTGAAGGCCTTGTACCTCTAGACCAGCACTGGCAGTAGAACTTTCTGTGATGATGGACATGTTCTCCACCTGCACTGCCCAATACTGCAGCCACTGGCCACACGTGACTCTTGAAGACTTGAAATCTGACTGGTACAACTAAGGGACTGGATTTCGATTTTAAATCATTTCAATTCAAATAAGTGGTCACTCTCCTCATGGGTACTCTTGTAGAACATTGCTATCACCGTACAAAGTTCTATCGGATATTATAGCTCTAGACTGACTAGTCCTAGCCATGGAGAAGAAGAACCACTGGGGCCTCCTCCAGAGGCTTTGGGGCTTTAGGGTCTGATGGGAGATCAGGAGACAAGTCTCAGGAAAGGGATGACAGAGGCTGAGCTGGTGCAGTCCTGGTTCCCGGTCCATATCTGGACACAGTCACTAGGACACTCTTCACCCAACCCGTGCACACTCCATTCCTGGATACACAGACATCCTGGGCCTCCCACACCCTGATACTAGGACAACCACAACTCAAAACTGAGATACTGACTACCCAAAGAGTTTTGCACCCCAAACCCAGGAATTCGACACTTGAGTGCCCAGACACCCTAATATCAGGCTTCCCAGTCATCAAAGCAGCTGGTTGCCTCCCCACCCAGACTCAGATCCCAATGCATCTAGATAACCACATGACTGGACACCCAACAAGCCACACTATGCTCCAGGCCACAATCTCACGCACACACACACACACACACACACACACACACACATTCACAAACCACTCCAACTACCTGGTTGCCAGGCCCCTACCTGCATACACTGAAGGGCTAGTCAGGCCTTGCTGCAACCAATGCACAAGCAGCCAGGACAGAGGATGTGACCCCATCCGCCCACCCCAAGATCTGAGACTGAGGATGGGGAGCTGTGCCAGGAAGCCCTCCTCTCCTTTGGGATGCAGGACCCTCTATCCTTTCCCCAGACGCTGAGACTGACAGTTGGGGCAGATGCTGTCTTACCACCGGCTGGGGCCTCAAACACAAAGGGCTGAGGATGGAGTCTGGATGGGACCAGCCAGCTGCTGGGGGAGGGACTGGCGGACTGTGGGAGGTAGTGCTGGGAGCCAGAAGGAAGGGAGTGGGGCTGACAGGCAGGACATCCACTTCCTTCCCTCTCTGCCAGTTAGCGACTTCACCTTCCCAGCTTACAACTTCCAGATAGCACCCTCTGCTTGGCCTTTTCATAACACAGCACCATTTTCCAGCAGAATTTTCCAGATTCTTGGAGGGAAAAGCTCCAGTCAATGCACCCCCAAATGGTGACTCCAGCTCTGAACTTGACCCACTCAAATCCTTAAAGTTGACAGGTAAACATACTCAGCACTATGCCGGCCAGGCCTTGTGCTTTCATTGAGGATTCAGTGCTAAACTAAATGCCCTGACGGAACTCACAGTCTGGTAAGGGAGACAGGACAATAAACTGTAATTACAGTAATTATAATGCTATGTAAAAATTCAATCAGCAACACACACAGAGTCCAGGGCAGGGAGCGATCAACCAGAGAAGGTTTCAGGGAGGAAGTGATTGCTAAACTAAGACCTGAATGAGAAGCAGGAGTTCACCAAGCAAAGAGGTAAGACAGAGTCCTGGGGAGAAAGCACATCTTGTACAAAATCCCATACACATACATGATGGACAATGGGCATTCAGGGGACTATCAGTAAGTGAAACACATAAGATGCAAATGGCAAGTGGCAGTTGGGGGTGAGGCGCAGGCAGAAGCTAGGATAGATGGCTGAGCCAAGGGGAAGAGACATGTACCCAGAGAGCAACTAGGATCCTGTGAAAGGTTTAAGCTGCTTTAAACCAAGTGTTTTAGGAAGATTCCTGGAACTATGGAGGGAAGAGATTGGGGCTTTTCTGCAGGTGAGAGGTGGCTAAGAATGGAGAGAGGAGGACAGACGAGGACCTGAGAGGGACATAGGATAGCATATATCTTGATGTAAGCAGGGAGTCTTGGAAGAGGGAAGGAGATAGGAGGAGGAAGAGAGGCATAAGACATTTCCTGCAACTTTGGTTAGCCCAGTCTTACAAGTACAGGACACTCCATAAACCCGGGTTAACTGGTGGACAGAAAGATGGTGATGTGCTCCAAACGAAGGGGTGCCCATCCTGGGATTTCCCTTTCCTGGGAGCTAGGTAGGAGGCTATCCAGGAGCTCAGCAACACACACAATGGCCTCTGTCGCTGACGTCCACTGAGCTCCCTTCCCCAGCCCCAGAGAGAAGGGAGGGCTGCCCAGACAAGCCATTATTGCTCAATCTGAAACCACTGGTAGCCTCTCCCTCATTCCTGCTGTCCACAACTGCAGTCACCAAAAGGACAAAACAAGCTCCAGCGAAATGAAATAAAGCCTTGCCAGGTTTGCATGGTTGAGAGACATCACACACCCTCCCCTACTGAAGACGAAAGAGGCATGCAGGAAGCTGGGCTAACTACTCAGTTTGGAGTAGGGATGACCCCACCCCTTCTTTTAAGGGCTTCTGAAATATACTCCTTTCCTAATCTACAAGTGTATGTGGAACTTGACCCTCTGCAAGGCCACCTAAAGATGAGGAATCAGACGTAGAAATGAAATGGCTTTGCCCAAGTGGCAGAGACAGAATTTGAACCCAGGTCCCTCTGGCCTCAAATTACCACCTCCAAAGGCTGTGTAACGGTCTTTAAACCAATCTTTTGTTCCTTTACACTCACAAGCAAGCTTTACTTTACAATTTACCAAGTACCATGTTGTTGTTATTGTTAGTGGCGTGGAGTCAGTTCAGATTCATAGTGATGGTGTATGGGATTTCCAAGGTGCAGCTGATGGGTTTGGACCCTCGACCTTGTGGCTAACAGTCAAGAGCTTACCCTACAGCGCCACACTAGGAACTCCATCAAGTACCATTCCCCATTATCATTACTCCTCCGGCACGGTAGAAAACGGAGGTACTAAGAAGATCTTGCTCTCAAACCTGTGTTCATGATAGTTCCTGCTGCCGGCAAGAGTTCGGGTCGTGAAAGGGTCCTCCGGATAAAGATGATGGGTACGTGCGGAGGGGCAGGAGTAGGAGTGAGTGCCCTGCGGGTTTGATCTACAGTGGGGGAGGGGACAAAGTTGCTGCGGGGGCGTGGTAGGAGGGGACCTGGAGGGAGGTGGCGTTGGGGGTCTCCTCTGCAAGGGGAAGTCAAAGGTATCACTGTACCCCGTGCGCCGAGACAGCAGCAGGGACTATCGCGGGACCCCAGAACGCCAGGAAGGAGAAGCCTGAGGGGTTGACGAGGCCGCGAACTCCATCTAGGGAAGGCCCTTCTCTGGGGCCTGTAGCCCAGAGGAGTCTCTCCAGGGCCGTGGCAGCTTCGGTTCGCCGCTCGGCTCTGATCCCGGGGGTCCTGAAGCCGCCTAATGGGGGTGTGGGGTGCGGAGGCCTAGGGAGGGGGAGATGGCCATCCTCACCCCAGGGGAGGGGTTGGACACCCCTTGGCTGGAGGGGCAAGGCTCCAGGATCCTCGGGCCTGCGGGGGTCTTTCTCCGGGGTGGGGACACACATAAACACACACCCGGATGAGATGCACACACACAGACCTACAGCCCACAACGCACACTCCGACGGGCACACGGACACACACACGTTCCGGATACACACTTTCAGACAAACGATTTCACACACACGTACACACACACACACACCCTACAGGACACCCGTCTTCGGAACACACCCAGAGAGGGCACAATCACTGCAGGCTGAAGCGCGGACACACACACACTTACGCACTCCAACACACGTACACACACGGCGGGAGGCCGCGCAAAGTTGCAGAGTCGACCCCGGGAGCGTCACTGGAGACGTCCCGCCGCCCAGACCCAGGCCCTCCTGAGCCCCGACGTCGCAGCCCCGCCCCTGCACAGAGCCCCCGCCGCCCTCCGGGCTGCGCAGCCCCGCGCCGCTCGGAACTTGTGGAACAACAAATCCGCCCGACATGTCGGAGTCGGCGGGTTGCCGAGGGCCCGGTGCCTCCCTCCAGCCTCAGGCCCCGCCCGACCAGGGAGGGTGGGGGCGCCGCCACCACAACTTGTTCCGGCCCCGCGTGGCCGCACACGCGCGCACACACACATACACACCCTGCCACCGCCCCCTCGGGCCCCGGGCCGGGCGCGAACACACTCACAACATTCCTGGACACGCAGCCAGCACGCACGGACACACTCACACAATCACATCCGCTCCCGACACGCATTCCCGGCACACTGGGCATTCACTCGGACCCACGCAGACCCCGGCAGTCCACACTACACACCCAGACTCTCCCACACGTACACATCGCGCACACAGTACACGGACACACGTTCCGGACCCATTCCCACGCCTTCACACATGCACACGTATTTCACAAGCACACACAGCACACACATATTCCCTGAGCCACACTCGGGCAAAATCCACAGCGCTCTCCGGGCCACACACACAACACAAACACAGGACACCTTCTCAGACACACAACAGCACTCCAGCTCCAGTAGATAAAACGCAAACAATTGCAACACATTTGCAAATACAACTCCAGTCACACAACGAAACTCAGATGCACATACAACAGACACACAACCCACTCGGCTGCACAAACACTACACACTGACAGCGCACACCCAATGCCTCATGCACACACTAACGGAACATATTCGTAGTCACAGAACATACACAGCACCTTTTCTTGCACACATAACTCACGGACACACAACATTCGCGGGCACGCAACACCCTGTGCACACAGTCGCACACCCAACACTCAGACACACAAGAAAGCACGCTCCCAGCGCCCACTCACCCCACATTTACACTTTCTTCTAAGCTACGCCACGGGCCCAGAGGGTTCAACGGGGCAAGCTCGGTCCGACCGCCGCGCGCTTACCTGCCGGAGTCTCGGTCTCTGGCGCACAGAGCTGGAAGGTGAGCGCCAGGACGAGAGCCTGGGCGCGGGCCATGATGCGCTGTCGCCTGCCTCGGGGCCCGGCGCAGAGGGCGCCGCCACGGGAGCCAGAGCCGAGCCCGAGGCAAGCCGGAGCGGCGCGGCGCGGCGCGGAGAGGGACTGGCGCGGAGTCCAGAGCAGGAGCCCGAGCGAGCGGGGGGCTGACGTCAGGCCCGGCCGAGCGTTCTGCGGTCTCGCGGCGCCCCCTGCTGGTCACAGGACGCACTACTGTCCCGTCCGGCCGCCCGCGGGTCCTGGTGAGCCCTTCCCCCACTCCCGCGCCACCGCCTAGCGGTCTTGCATCTGGGCTTAGATGCGCACCGACCTCCGCACTGACTGGGCATTGACCTCTGACGAGCACGCTTATTGCCCAGGTCTACTCCTGCTTGGCGCTCTCAGGAACAACGACTTCTCTGTCCAATATCAACGAAGAATTACTTCTACCTTGACCCCTACAAATGTACATGGATGCTTCCCTTCAAGGACCGTGGGCTCTGTTAGCTACCACACGTTCGTGTTTATAAAGTCCTTCATAGTGTGAAGGCTGCCTCCCTTAGTCTTCTGCATTCTGGCTACCCAACGTGAGTACTTGTATGTGAGCCTCTCCAGAAACTGGAGAAGGATATCATGTTTGGTAGGGTTGAGGGTCAGAGAAAAAGAGGAAGACCCCTAACAAGATGGATTGGCCAAGTGGCTGCATGGATGGACTCAAGCGTGGCAACAGTAGTGAGGTTGGCCCATGATTGGGCAGTGTTTCATTCTGCTGTGCATAAAGTCGCTATGGGTCAGTACCGACTCGATGGCACCTAACAACAACAACCCGAGTGTGGCGATACACTATATGACCCCCACGCAAGGTCAATTTGAACCACAAGGTGTAGCTCAACACAACAACAGCCCAAGACGTGCCTTTACAAACTCCCCAGTCATTATAGCTAAGGCCAGACACCACATATGTGATTCACCCACATGTATTCATTTAATCCTCTCCATAACCTGATTGTTCTTTTTTTTGTTCTCTTGTTACTAATGTATAGCCACCCTATCTACAACTGAAGGAAATGCCACCTGGTCCTTCACCATCTTCACAATTGTTATGTCTGGCCCCATTGTTGCAGTCACTGTGTCAACCTATCTCCTTGAGTGTCTTCCTCTTTTTCACTGACCTTCCACTTTACCAAGCAAAATGTCCTTCAGGGACGGTCCCTCCTGATAACATGTCCAAAGCGTGTGAGACAAAATCTCACCATCATCTCTTACAAGGAACAACCTGGCTGTACTTCTTCCAAAACAGATCTGTGTGTTTTTCTGGTTTGTTGTTGTTAAGTACAGTCAAGTCGGTTCCAACTCAAAGTGATGCTGTATCAGGTTCCGGATGAGCAACCTTGTGGTTCAAACTGACATTACAATTGAGTGCTTATCCTTCTGAAGGTTGTTGTTGTTAAGTACCGTGGAGTCAGTTCTGACTCATAGTGACCCTGCACAGGGCTTCTGAGGCTGTAACTCTTTACGGGAGCAGAAAGCCTCATCTTTCTCCCGCGGAACCGCTGGTAGTTTCGAACTGCTGACCTTGAGGTTGGCAGCCTGACTCATAACCACTACACTACCAGTACTCCTTTATCCTTCTGGTATGGTAGTCCATGGTATATATTGAATATACTATGCTCTTCTCGTGGTCCATGGTATATTCAATATTCTTCACCAAGACCATAATTCAAATACATTGATTCTTCTCCGGTCTTGTTATTCATTGTCCACCTTTTGCATGGATATGAGATGATTGAAAATACCATGGCTCAGGTGCATCTAAGTCCTCAAAGAGATGTCTTTGTTCTTTAACACTTTCAAGAGGTCTTTTGCAGCAGATTCACCGAATGAAATATGTCATTTGATTTCTCGACTGCTACTTCCATGAATGTTGATTCTGGATCCAAACAAAATGAAATTTTTGACAACTTCAATCTTTTCTCTCCTATTAAAAATTAGTATTATTATCACCATTGCATAATTGAGGCAACTGAGGCCCAGAGAAAGGAAGTCACCTTCCCAATGCCACGCATTAATATAGAGAAGTACCAGGAGTTGATTCAAGGCCATCTGACTTGTAGTAAATCAGAATTGAGACCTGGCTCCCATTTGGAAACCCATTCATTCAACAAATTCTTACTCAATACTGGTTCATTTATTCAGCAGTTACGATGAGACAGGGTTGAGATATAAAACACACAGAGAACTCTACTCTCATGGATTTTACATTCTAATGGGAAGACAGAAACAATGAATAACCAAAATAAAATTAAATTCTATGATAGATGACAGAGTGATAAGGGGAACAGAAAAAGATTAGATTTTTAGTTAGATTTAAACTGAGCATTTACTATGTAGCATGTTTAGTATTTGTCTTTATCTCTAGAATGTGAGGAACCCTGGTATGAGTTGGACTCCTAACACAAGGTCAGCAGTTTGAATCCACCAGTCACTCTGAGGGAGAAAGAAGAGGCTTTCTGCTCTCATAAAGATTTACAGCCTCAGAAACCCTATGCAGGGTTACTATGAGTTGGAACCAGCTCAACACCACACAACCACCACCACCTAGAATATGAATTCCCTGAGGACAAGGGCATGATCTTGTATCCTGGTGCCTAAAATCTGATGTGTAATAGCTGTTGTTAAGTGCTATTGAGTCAGATTCGACTCATAGCGACCCTGTATAGAAATTTCCAAGAAGCAGCTGGTAAGTTTGAACCACCAACCTTGCGATCCAGTGCTTATCCTGCAGCACCACACCAGGACTCCAGTAGTTGTTGTTGTTGTTGTTAAGTGCCATTGAGTTGGTACCGACTCATAGTGACCTTATGCACAGCAGAACGAAACACTGTCTGATCCTGGGCCAACCTCACAACTGTTGCCATGCTTGAGTCCATCGATGCTGCCACCTGGCCAATCCTTCTTGTTGGGGGTCTTCGTCTTTTTCTCTGACCCTGCACCTTACCAAACGACTCCACCTTACCAGCGACTGGTCCCTCCTGACAATATGTCTGAAGTATGAGAGACAAAGTTTGGCCATCTTGGCCTCCAAGGAGCACCTGGCTGCACTTCTTCCAAAACGGATCTATTGGTTCTTTTGGCAGCCCATGACACTTTCAATATTCTCCAACACCATAACTCAAAAGCATCCATTCTTCTACAGTCTTCTTTATTCACTGTCCAGCTTTTGCATGCATATGAGGTTATTGAAAATACCATGTTAGTGCTCGGTAAATGTTGAATGAATACATGTAGACATGGCCTCTGTCCTCATGAATTTTACATCCTAGTGGAGTTCAATGGCAAGCATGCAAATAAATACGTAATTATAACTCAAGATGACTATTCTGAAGGACATTGATGGTATTTGTGATAAAGAATATATGGTGGGCACAAATGCTCGTTGTGAAGTATAAGGATTCCAGAACACTTAATTGTGCTCATGAGGAATCTGTACATGGACCAAGAGGCAGTTATTTGAACAGAACATGGGAACACTGAATGATTTTAAAATTAAGAAAGGTGCGCGACAGAGTTGTATGTTTTCACCAGACTTATTCAACCTGTATGCTGAGCAAATAATCTGAGAAGCTGGGTTCTATGAAGAAAAACATGACATCAGGATTGGAGGAAAACTCATTAACAACCTGCGATATGCAGATGATACAACCTTGCTTGCTGAAAGTAAAGAGGACTAAAAATACTTACTGATGAAGATCAAAGACCACAGCCTTTGATATGGATTGTATCTCAATGTAAAGAAAACCAAATCCTCACCACTGGAACAGTAAACAACATTCTTATCAATGAAGAAAAGATTGAAGTTGTCAAGGACTTCATCTTCTTGGATTAACCATCAACACTCATGGAAGCAGCAGTCAAGAAATCAAAGGACGTATTGCATTAGGCAAATCTGCTGCACAAGACCTTTTAAAGTGTTGTAGACCAAAGATGTCAGCTTGGGGACTAAGGTGTGCCTGACCCAAGCCATGGTATTTTCAATAACCTCATATGCATGTGAAAGCTGGACAGTGAATATGAAAGAACTGATGCTTTTGAGTTATGGTGTTTGAGGAGAAATTGAAAATGCCATGGACTGCCAAAAGAACAAACAGATATGTGTTGGAAGAAGTGCAGCCAGAGTGCTCCTTGGAGGCCAGGATGGCCAAACTTCATCTCTCAAACTTTGGCCATATTGTCAGGAGGGACCAGTTGCTGGAGAAGGATATCATGTTTGGTAAGGTGAAGGGTCAGAGAAAAAGAGGAAGACCCCCAGCAAGATGGATGGGCAAAGTGGCAGCATCAATGGACTCAGAGTGGCAACAATTATGAGGTTGGCCCAGGACCGGGCAGTGTTTTGTTCTGTTGTGCATAGGGTCGCTATGAGTTGGTACCGACTCATTGGCACCTAACAACAACAGCAATGCACACTGCACTGTCATGGTGCTGTAAGATAAGCACTGGGCCACAAAGTCGGTTTGAATCTCAAGGTTGGCAGTTCAAATTCACCAGTTCCTCCTCAGAAACCCTATATAGGGTCAGTATGACTCAGAACTGACTCGATGGTATTGAACAATAAGAAAACAACAAGAAAAGTGCTCATTGAAGCACTTTTCACAAGAGTCAAACTGTGGAAATAACGAACGTGCCCATGAACAGGTGAATGGATAAGTCAAATGTGGTGTATATACACATGATGGAATATTACTCAGAACACAAAGAGAAATAAGATCGTGATGCATGACACCATAGGATGAAAACATGCTGAGCTAAATAAGTCAGTTGCAAATGGACAAATGGAACTGACTCAATGACACGTAACAGCAACAACAACAACATGGGAAATATGCAAATATACAGAAACCAAAAATTATTTGCAGTTACCAGAAATGAAAGGGGAAGGTTTTACTTAGAAAGCTTTGAGTTTATGCTAATCGTGGTGGAATTACTTGGGGGAAAAAATTGCACAACATAAAGAAGGTAATCAATATCAGTGAATTATACATGTAGAAATTGTTAAATTAGCCATTGTTTTGTTGTGCATATTTTCATCTCAATTTTGGGGTGTTTTTTTTTTTAAGAAGATGGTGGGAATCTAGTTTAAATTAGGTGGAATGAGAGGGCTTCCCTGAGGAGGCAACATGTGACATTTGAGACTCAGAGACCTGAAGTATAAGAAAGAGCCCAAAACACCAAACCCACAGCCATCCAGTTGATTCTGACACAAAGCTCCTATAGGACAAAGTAGAACAGCTCCATAGGGCTTTGGAGAAAATGTTGGCAAATCATCACAGTGGCCAGTGGCTCCGAACCACCAACTGTTTTGGTTAGCAACCTGATGCTTAACCCAATGCACCACCAGGATTCCTTTTAAGAAAAACCCAACCTCATGCAAATCAACGAGGTAGAACTTTGCTGTCAGAGGACAGCAGTGCACAGTGGGAGTTAGTTGGAGAAAGTCAGAGTGACTGGAGTGGGGTGAGCGGGAAGGCGAGGGGAGCCAGGGGCCGCTGACGGCCTCTAGGTCAGACACAGAAATGGGGGCATGGAAGGGGCTTTGGGTTAAACCTTAAAAGCAGTGGAAAGCCATCGAAGCATTAAAGTCTCCGGAGCAGCTGAGTGGAGAACAGACTGGGGAAGCAGAGGAAGGATACCATATTCCTCCTCCGGGTCAGAGAAGGGTAGGATATGCTGATAAGCAGTGACATTGGATCCTAAAGTTTCAATGTGTATCCAGGCTCTTCCTGTGCCCTGCCTCCACTCCCCAGGGCCCAGCTGGCTGGCTCCACACTGAGGTTGGCACACTCAGCCCTGCCCCGAGGAGAGAAGAGGAAGAGCTAAGGATTCCAGGCTTTTACTCTCCTCTCCTGTGAGCACTGCTAAGCTGCAGGCTAAGATGGGAGAGGGGTCAAAGGAGTCGGAGCAGGCAGGAACCAGAGGCAGAGAATTCAACAGAGAGAAACTGAGACACACACACACAGAGAAGCAAAGATAATGAAAAGTGATGAGTGGCACAAATGGTTAAGTACTCAAATACTAGCCAAAAGGTTAGTGGTTCAAGCCCACACTGAGCCACCTGGAAGACAGGCCTAGTGATTTGCTTCCAAAAGGTCACCGCCTGAAAACCCTGTGGAACCGTTCTACTCTACACATGTGGAGTAACTATGAGTTGGAATGATCTCACTGGCCACTGACAACGACATCAGAACAGGGCAGGAAAGACACTAAAGTAGGGTGCTGCTGGAACCACAAGGAAAGACAAAGAAAGTTACCCAGGAGAGAAGACTTAAACTGATGACTGGGAAAAGAGAATGTCCACAGAGCCAGTGGACACTCATGGAAAGCCTCCTGTCAGGGAGTAACCACCCATCCTGAATGTGGAACTTGAGGCTCAGAGAGCGTAAGGCACTGGAACAAGGTCACACAGCTAATAAATGGTAGATGCAGGGCTCAAACCTCAATCTAATCCTAAAACCTGCTACTCCTTGTACAGGAGAAGACGAGAGAGAGTAAGGACATAGAAGAAAACACTGCTCTGCTTTGTAATCTGTATCAGCCTGGAAACGAGCCCTGTGGCATAGTGGCTTGCACGTTGGGCTGCTAACTGCAAGGTCACTCTGTGAGATACTAGCCACTCTGGAAGAGAAAGATGAGGCGATCTTGTTCCCGTAAAGATTTACAGCCTGAGAAACTCTCTGAAGCAGTTGTACTCTGCGCTATTGGGTCTCTATGAGGTGGAATCAACTCCACAGCCATGGGTTTGGGATTTGGTTTGATCATCCTGGATAGAAGGAAGGGAAGGAGAGCGTCTCCTGGCCCGGAGTGACCTGCCCAGATCTAAGGAAAAGGAGACAGCACCACAGTCCACACAAGGTCACAAGGAAATTCAATTACCAGCAACTCATTGAACATTTATGAAACTTCTTTTGCCAGGCCCCATATTGGATGCTGGCATCATGGAAACGAACCAAACATGGCCCCACTCTTGCCTGGAGGAGGAGGTAGGCACATAAATAACTAAGAGGCAATGTCCTAAAGGCCATAAAAACCAGTCCAGAAAATGCCAAGGAAGCGCAAAGGCAGTAGGAGGTTGGGAAATAGCATTAAGGAAATTATATATAAACCTAGAGTTTTTCATACAGGCAAGGCAGGAAAGGGCATCTCAGGCAAAAGGTACAGTCTGAATAACAGTACAAGACAAGGAAGTACTGGGAAAGGTACGCAACAGGTGCAGTGAAATCATGGTCCCATGGCAAGAGATAAGCCACAAAGACAGGGGTGGGAGTCAGAACTTAAATGCAAGGCCAGGACAATTGGACTTGAACCTCTGAGTCAATGGTTCTCAAACCAGGTTTTCCTCAATCCAAACTGAGAGGTTCTGCCATTAAATTAAAATCATAACTATGTTTTCCTAATTTGTAAGCAAGCAGATTAAATTGAACTGAATAGAAGTTCCTCAGGTCTAAGGTGTTTTTCCTTCATACATTTTTCTGAAGATTTTGGTGCATGTCAATTGTGTGAAAGAATCATAGAATTCACATAGAATCATATGTTTGGGGACTTTTTTTTTTTTTTTTGCTTGCTTTTCACAATGTTGAATTTAAAATGTCAATGATTCCTTGTGTTCTACAAAGCACGGTAGCTATCCTAAGTGTTCCAAGTCATGGAAGAGCTTTTTAAGCAAAGGAAAGACAAAATCTGATCTTTTTGTTACAGAAAAAAAAAATCATTCTGGAAACCAGGAAAAGAAAAAAGTGAGGATGGAGAGATGAGGGTAAAAAATCTCAGTCAAGAAATTTGTTGACTAGGCAAAAATGGTTGGACTGAAAGTGAGGGTGATAGGGATAGAGGAGGAACAAATTCCAGAGCTGAGGGGAGAGATCTGCTGGATGATTCTCCAGGCATCCTGGCCAGGGAATTCTGGAGAAGGAGTCAATTTGGTAGGAAAGATCATTTCAGTGGCTCAGTGTCACCTAGGGAAACTTCCAGCAGAAGGCAACTTTTGTACCTCCCAGCATAAGTAGCCCCACATGTCACCATGAACAGGATCAGTGAGTGTACAATTGTGAGATTACCTATCCTGGGACAGCAACTTTCTTTAAGAATAAAAACAAGCACTGACATTTATTGAGCACTTGCTGTGTACCAGATTCTAATCTGAGTGCTTAACATCTAAACTTTCTCATTAAATCTTCACAATGACCCCCATGAGACTTATCAAATCCTCTCTGTGCCAAGCATTGTGCTAAATGATGCATTGCTTCAAGTGAATCATCTCTCTCTCACTTGATCCTCACAAGGACCTTGAAATAGATACTACCATCTCCATTTCCTTCATGTTAAGGATAAGGAAATGGAGACACAAAAAAGTCAAGTGACTAGTCTAAAACCAAATGGCTAGAAAGTGGTAGAGTCAGGATTGAAAGCCAGGTTTTCCCCAACCCAGCCCCCCATCCTTAATCACAGCACTTTGCTGTCCTTTCTTCAGAGGTAAGGCTCTAGCAAGTGGCAGGTCAGTAAAGTCCAGCAAATGGAACTCTCTCCCTTAACCCTTCAAAACCCTGCCTCAGTCTTTCTTCAACTGGTCTCCTGGGCCACCTGCATCAGAATATTTTGGGGCACTTATAAAAATGCAGATTCTTCGACGTCTCCCCGAGATTCTACAGTTCTACTCTGTAACACAGAGTCCTGGTGTGGCGCTGTGGGTTAATGTGCCAGACTGCAAAGCCATTTGAACTTCAAGGTCGGTGGTTCAAGCTCACCAGCTGCTCCTCAGAAACCCTATACAGGGTCACTATGGGTCGGAACCAACTCAATGGCACTTCACAACAACAACTCTGTAACACATGGGGTCTTCGTAAATTGGAATGGACTCCATGGCAAGTTTGGGATTTTGGGTTAAGGTGGGGCCTTGGATGATTTTTATTTGCACTAAAGATGGGAAGGTTGAGACCCTCCCTGTGTGATGCAAACAGTTAAGCACGTGACTACTAGCCAAAAAGGAGCTCTGGTAGTGTAGTGGTTACGAATTGGGCTTCTAACCCTCAAGGTCAGCAGTTCGAAACTACCAGCTGTTCCTCAGGAGAAAGACGAGGCTTTCTGCTCCTACAAAGATTTACAGCCTCAGAAACCCTGTACAGGGTCGCTGTGAGTCAGAACCGACTCCACGGCACATAACCACCACCACCATTATTTCATCGAATCCTCACAACCACCTTGAAGGATGCGTATTATTCCCATTATATGGAGGAGAAAACAAACTCTAAATTCAGTCACTTGCTTCTGCGCATGGAACAAAATCCTTTAACTCCAAGCCCAGTTGTCTTGCTTACTTATCAGTTTACATACACAACATCAACTCAGTGCAGGGAGGTAGGCTTAGCCTCCCTATTCCCTTCCAGGTTGTTGTTGTTAAGTACTGTCGACCTTGTATAGGGTTTCCTGGTATGACCTAAGATAAGCATTGAAAAGCTAACCCCAAGGTCAGCGCCTCAAACCCACCACCCACCAGCCAATACGCTGAGTCGAAAGTGACCGGTTTTCCTAGGAGCAACTGATGGATTTGAACCGCTGACTTTGACGCTAGCAGTCCAGTGCTTATCACACAGAGCCACTCCAGGACTGTTCCAGGTTAGTGGGAGGTAGGAAGTCCGGGTGGGGGAATGCCTATAAAGAGCCCAACATAGTAAGCACCCAATAATGGTAAGGAGAAGGGGAAACTGAGGCCAGGGGCGGGCACAATGACTTCCCAAATCAAACACCTAAGTGTAGGCGGGTTGTAGGCACAGCTTTAGACCAATTTCAGGTTCCTTGGGAGAGAAACTGGCAGACTCAGAAACTCAAGGCCCTCCACTACCCACCCTATCTCTCCAGGATATCTTCCTCAAGCACCA